TAATCAGGTGTCAGTTTTGCCAAAATTAGCTTCTTCAACAAAAAGGCTTTCCTTGCTGGTCCACTGGAATCATAAATGCCTTTTAATTTTTCCCATATCTCTGCTGAAGTGTTACATCCTTTCACTTGCTTTAATTCGCTTGGGCTGATAGAGAGGATTATATCTGCCTTTGCCTTTGCATCAGTGATTGATTAGCCAAGCAGTCATTCTTTCACCTTCTTCTAGAGGCCTTTTAATGGTTCCTAACACATACCCAAGCAAATCATTTTTAACTAAAATTGCTTCCATCTGCATTTTCCATGTGTCATAATTATTTCTGTTCAAAAGTTCAATGTGATTACTCATATTTCTTTCCATATTCCTCACTTAATTGAGTCTCATAATCTGTTAAAATTGAATCAACTATTCTTTAATAACACTCACACAATAATAACTTTTATTTACTTTTTTATCATAACAAAACTAGATATATAACATATGATTTTATAAAACAGGTAATAAGTAAATTGGATGATGTTGTAACTCCAACACTATTGACCTTACTAGGATAAATGAGTTAAAACTCATAAAAAACATCCTGATTCCACACAATTCAAGGGGAAAAGCTCTATTTGATCATTTATATTAAGTTTCAATACCAATAATTTACGAGTACAAATTCATTATTTTTATTTTATAAGCCAGCACACAAATCAAGTTAATCCACAGCACACAGTAGCTAGTGCGGCTAGCGGCGTGTCGTGGCAGAGAAGTTTGTGTCTGTGGTTTAACCGCATTCACTCTGCTGTAATTGGATTTGTGACACACTGACACTCCTCCAACAGTTCAGTGGCATCTTATGATAGGCCTACCTCGAGACGTGTGTCATGCGAGGTAATGGGAGGTTTTACCACTCATGTTATTAGTTAGCTGTTACGTGATGTATTTGTAGGGTTCGGAAAACTAACAAACAGTTCTCAGTTCAAAGGTTAGGTCAAGTAGTCGAGCAGGTCCTAGCTTTGCCTCGTTCATAAATAAGTGATATGTTTAATTGTTTTGATTTATTCGCCTAAATTGAATTTTATTTTATTTCAAAACCAATCATGTAGGTAATTTCAAATCACTACAAAGCAAGTAAACATTTAATTTCCTTTGTGAAGGCCATTTTAAGTTTTTGATAAGTCAACAATAAAATGATACAGAAAATTTGATTTGAAACACTAAGGGTAGAAAACGTTTTGCAGAGGGATTCAGTGTTAAGAATTTTTGAAGGGGTAGAGACTTGAAAATATTCTGATGGTAGGACCCAGTAGGAGTATACTATAGATGAAGTAGGTCTTGAGATGGGATGAGAAGGGAAGTGAAAGTAAAATAAGGACGATTTAAACCAGACTCTGGGTGATAATTATTTGTTGGTGGTTAAATTTTACCAGCTGCACACATAGGATTTGATATTCTTTAGGTGATTTTGTTTTGAATTACACTTTATGAATATCATATGATCAAATATGATATTGATAAATATTTCAGTTCAGGTCAGTTTTACTTCATGATTTTTTTCATAAGTGTCATTTTCTAATAATTTTCTTTCTATTCAATTTTACTACTAGAATTCTACTCAAAGTATTTTTTACTTAACCTATACCATGGTAAGTAGAAGGGTTTAATGGTCTAATGGTATTTTAATGGTGGCTGATGGAATATACCATACCTTGCTCTTGAAGATCAATAAGCTTCCAGCTTACAAGCTGCTCCAACAGAAACCCCAAACTTCATACAAACCTATCCAGTTCTTTCTAATACCGCATATGTTATCCTATCTTATTTCATTCTAGATTCACTTTAGGCCTTGGCCAACCTTTTTTTGTAGTGATGGTAGCAGGCCTCCAGTTCACACTGGGTTCTTAAGTTTTCAGCACTGTTATTCCCACTAGTATCAGAAAACTGAATACAAATCAGTTCTTCTTCTCTGATTTACAAATCAGAGAAATAAATATGGCTAAGAAGAATAATTATTTCAGTAAATGTATTATTCAAGTATAAATAATGTTTATGTTGTTTTTTTATGTTGTTTATGTTGTTGTTGTTTGTTATGGTTTGATTTACATGGTAGTAAATCCACTAAAAAACGAATGTAACTGGAACACTTGTGATATGTTCTATTTTAGACCTTTAACTCTTAGTACTGAAAATTACAGCCTATTTATGTACCCAACAAACATAATATGAATTCTACACCAAATATAACAACTGCTATCTGTAAATTATTGAAGAGTTCAACAATTTTGATGTAACAGGGGATGAAGTTACATTGGACTGATAATACCAGACCAGGTCGAGTAGGGGATTGTATTGAAGGGGTGTTATTGGAAGAGGTGGGAGATATGTTGGTGTGGTCAGATCGTGTTCTGTTCTCTTCAACTTTAATTGAATTGGTGGTCAGATACACTGCGAACCATCTGTTTACCTCCCTTGTTTGTCTCTGTCTGATTTCACCATCAATTTTAAATTCATAAAACAAAATCAAAATAACTAAGAAACTGTTTTTCCTGAAAGATTCTGTACTGTGAGTTCAAATATATGTTTTTTTGATCAGCTTACATAAAATTAATTTTTTTAAGTACCTAAAACCACAATGAAAAAAAATAGTGCCTGTTCATGGTACATTTCAATGGTACCATGAAATATGTTTTGTTTTAGTAGTTTTCAAAGATATAATTTATTATTCATTCGATTCTGCTGGTGAAATTAACAGTACAAACTATTAGAAAATAATATAGTTAAGTTGTTTGATAGAATCACATTTTTAAAATAAACTGGCTTTAAATCCTAAAATGTCAATTATATTTACTACAGTTATTGAATTGCATTTTAAATATATGTTTAATTATTCTGTTTTTAATTGACAGCGTGGGAGGTAGGCCTACTCTAATTAAAACTGATTGTAATTGTCTTACATCTACTTGAAAGATAGATTTTTTTGTATCCTAGTCAAATTGACCCAAAGTTCAAAGTGGCTCAGAGCTGGTTGATTATGGCATTAATTCAGAGGTGAAATATATAGGAGTCTACAGGAATTTGTACCTTGGCCTCAACAACAAAGAGGGTTCTCTACAACTAGTATATCAGTCCAACCCAATAATTAAATACAAATACATGTCAATAATTATTAATAATCAATTGTAGGATTAGAAGTTAGCAAAAAAATTAATATTGCTGTGAAATGTTGTGTAGACTAGATATATTTTAAATATGAAAATAATTTTTCAGTTCAGTAAAAAGTGCTATACATACTAGTAATCAAAAACTAAGATAGAAGTACACATTATATTGTTTAGAGAATAAACTTATCTCAGGAAAAACATACACTGTCTGATAAGAGTTCCATATTTATTACAAATTCAAGACATTTTCAACATTAAAAAACAAATGTTTCAAAATATAAATCTAAAACAATAAGACAGTAAAGTATTTACAGAAATATATTTATTGATCACAACATATTGTATATTACATAATCGATACAAAATGGGCCGTGTTTGCGAATGATCGCATCATCATCAAGTCTGTACATACACAATATACGATCATTCGTACAATAATTTTGTACAGGAGTACATTAATCAGTTCTTTAAACTGTTGATCCCTGTACAGGAAGTATTTAACACACAATTGTATGTACAATGTACATAGATACAAATAAACCTTTGACATTTAAGCAAAACTAAATCATTTTTCTAACAGTCTAAGTACTAAAGTTTACCTTAAAACTAAATTATATATTCCATGTATTATGTGAGCAGGTGAAACATCTTCAATTTAAGTGTTTTTGAGCTTAAACTCTTTATGTGACTAAATGGACAGTGGAAGTTAACTATAAAGACATCTTTGAAATGAGCGAAAATATTTGAAAACTTGTTGTAAAATAAAGTAATATTTTACCACTGAAGGAATTGCTGGTAATATATGTTTCTAAATAAAACCTGTTTAAAAGATATATTTAAATGTAAGATGTTCCATGAAATTAGCCAACCATTACCATGCTAAGGTATGACTTTGTATTTTTATTAGTTTTTTATTTTCAGAAAATGTAATATTTCACATGTTTAATGTTTTAAAGTCTAATTACACGTAAATATTTTAGTCAACAACACAAATAAAAGTTTTAATAAGCATATATATAACCAATAACAAAACAGTGTCTATAATCTCATTTTGCCTTACTTTAAATTTGATAATAAAAATCATATTCATCTTTTTCATTGAAAATAGAAGTATTATAACTTATCACATAAATATTTTGAGATTTAAAACTTTTTAACAGTGATATAGCAACAATTTCTACAAAAACATTTACTTTTATCATAATAACTTTATGGTAACAAATACTTACAATAAATCATCTATGAAACTAAGTTTAGTTCTATGTTTTTAAAAATAAATACAAATTTACAAAAAAATATACAGTTGTGTCAAGCATGCTCACTAAGGCAATTCATATAAACAATTTCAATTTGAGTATTTACAAATAAAAAGTAATACACAAATATCATTTTGTGTAGATTCATTTTTTATAATTTAGCAAAGCATACAAGAGAACCAAATGCAGTAGGCCTACAGTATTGTGGTTAGGAATATTATGTTTTTTATGATTAATTTTTCTCAATATTATTTTTTACCAATTAATTGTTAGTTGAATTATCGCAGTTGAAAGAATACATTTTATTCCTGGGCTCTTAAAAGTATTAGGTAACATTTTGATCAAAAACTGAGATCGAAAAACCTAAAATCACATCAACAAACATTACTCGTATCATATTTCAGCCTTATCAATGCTATGAGGCTGGTACTGGTAGTGTCTTAAAGGCATGGTCCTAGGAGTGAACAGGTCACGGTGAGGTCGCACCAACACAGTGTTGCAATCATGGTACGACCTTTGGTCACCTCGGCCACTGTCCAGGTCGAACCTGTGTTTGAGGTTGGGCGCCGGACAGAAGTAGGACGGGGGGGTTGTGTCCGTAGGGAACGCCTTGTTGTAGTAGGACATTCTGTTGATAGTGGCCCCATGAGCGCTCACACTCGGCACCTGCAGCTCCTTGAAAGTGTCCTCCTTGGACCTGCGTCTGGCGCCCGTACTGCGCCGGTGACTATGGCTCGCACCTCGCTAGCCCCACACACATACATCACTACAACATCAACTGTCTGCCTAGCTTAGCAAAATCACGCGGTGGCATTCAAGTGCGCTTGGTAATTCTGAAAACAAACATCCTGTCACCACCCCAGTGCTAAAGGTGCTATGCAGTTGTGAGATTTGGAAAAGGTAAGTTTGAGAAAGAATTTGGAAAAGTTAGAGAATCCTTTACTGAATATAAGAAGTTTAAGTGTTTTGTGTATTTAGTTAAAATCTACAGAAATTATCATGTTTGTAAATAATTCATCTGAGATATCTCTCTTGCCATAGAAGGACTACTTTGGCTAACCTTATGAGTTACAACTTAATTTAATACAAGAAATACAACAGTCAAACGTATAACAGTAATGCAGTGAGGCAGTGCTTAAACGTGCTAGATGCAGGTGCTTGAGCTTTACCCGAGTGCTTGTCGATCATGCAGCCTTTGTAAAAAAGTATGAAAACTAAAGTGGAAATATTTACAAAAATATACATTAACTATCGCTTTATTGTCTTAACTATTGTCAATGTCTTTGGTGATGACTAGCGAAATCATAAGTGCTAAGACTAATCTACAGATTCAGTCCGGTGCAGTGCAATCGCTAGTGTCCATATCACATGCTGGAGATCACACACAGTCACTGATGCAAACACTGATGCATGGCGCGGCGGTTTACACTCTGGTGGGGGGCTGCAGAACCATGGCGGCAAGCCTCACCTTCATGGCCTCTGGCGAGCCCCCCGCAGTGATGGTGTGGGGGGGCCGTCTTGTGGGGGTGCTGCAGTACATAGCCTCCGCTGCATTGTGCAGCACACTGTGTCCGTCTATCTTGGGCGTCTTCCTCCCTGTGCTGTCCAACTCGGACTTCTCGCTGTAAAAGATCACACTGGGGATGGTTATTGAGACACAAACGTTGGGGACTGATACAACTACTATTACAGCCAGAGGGGGATCCAGGGCATGATTTTGGGGGGAGGAGGGAGGTGGATTGTAAGGGTAAACTTCCGGGGTGTATGAAGTAAAAAAAGGGTCAGAGGGCCCACCCCCTAGAAATATTGGAAAATTTGAACTGAAAACTCGGGTTTTTAGACAATCTAGATAAAAAACTTGATCATTTTTTGTAATTTAAAACTATAGTATTTCAACTAGATTTATTTTCCAAAGTCTCGGGTTAAGGGGGAAATGCCTCTTTGCAAACCTCCCCCCCCCCTATTGGATCCGCCACTGATTACAGCTAAGGATTTGCTTTTGATTAGATTAGATTTATATGACAACGATCAGTGGTGGAGTCGTAAATTTTCCGGTGTGGAAACGCCACGAAAAAATGTCATAGGTACTACCATTCTCACGGGAAAATACCGTTTACCGATATATTTTTTTGAAAACCCAGTGGGATATTCCTGTCCCACTACTCTACTAATACTGACACATCAATGTGCATATTGTAAGGCAAAGAAAAGTGAAGAATAAGTGTTGAATGAAAGATATAGCAGATTTGTATTGACTATGATCAGCTGATTCTCTAGCCTCGACCATGTAGCAAAAGCCTAATGATTAAGAACTGCTAAGTCAACTTTTGAACTATCAAAATATGTACTTGTCTCAGGATCAAACCAGCAAACTTATGATTACTATAGCCAAGCACTAACCGCACAAATCTAAATCAAACAATCTGGGACTAAAGAAAATGCATTTTAAAAACTGTCAGAATCACACCTCTACAATGATTGGATCCAAGGGAGAGAAACAAGTGCTTTAAGACACATGGGAGAATAAGAACTGATACTTGTAAAAGCTGCCAACTAATTACTGAAATGTACCAGGTTTATCTACTTTCTATCTACAATTCTATTTTGTATTCAAATAATAACTAGTTTCATGTCATTTGACCCATTATTAAAATTGCTATCAAAAAGAAGAGAGGCGAGAGGTGAGATGGATCTCATGACCTGATAAATGCTATTCTTTGAGTCTTTGACACTATATTATGTGATGGAAGGCAGGGATGAAACATTAACCTTTATACATTTTAATATCTCAGTATTGGTGGCAAAATATTTAAAGAATTTATATACTGTTAACTTTTTCAATCTATAGAAATAGTTTTTACTAAATATCTTCATGCTCAATTAGGTGTACATATCTTTCTGCACAAATGTTTACGTAGTATCACAAAAATCATATATTTTAACTCATGCCTTAAAAAGGTGATAGCAAATATTAAAACCCTATAATATCATGAACACTCACATAAAATTTAGAAATATTTTACCGTAATTATGACATAATGTTGAGTTTGAAACATGTGATACATGGTAAGCACAGCCTCGTGTATCTAATAACTGAGTTGCAATGGAGTTTAAAACAATATTGAGATTGCAGTTCTTTGGAAACAAATTGTGTTCTCTCTAGTTTTGTTTTGAACTGTTATAAAAAATTGCATGGTCATTTGTGCACCTGAGCAAACAGTTAATCTATATATAAATGTATCTGACAAATAATAAAATATATTTAACTTCTTATAAATTTTAAGTATTAAGTATTTTCATGACTAACAGTAACATGTTGATCTTCATATTCCTCATTGAATGGTTATCTAGATTGAAATAAAATTTACTATTTATATTTACCTTTCCAAATCTGTTGGTCTAAAGTCACCTCTTCCTGAAAAAACAACACACACTGATTATGAATCAAATTGCTATTTATAAACAGTTAACCAGTTTTTTTCTTAAATCTTTTGGAATATTTCTTGATAGTGTTTAGTTGTCTAAAACATTGAACCCAATCTTAATGAGCATCTTAATGACTCTGTTCATTTGAAAAAAGCTCATTTAGAAAACTTTCTGCAGACAAAGATTGTTCTAATAGGGGGGTTGCACTTTGTTAAAGACATCAATTTTTTCTAAACATATTGTTTTTTATCTTTAAATTGTAATATTACCTTTTTTCCTGTAGACTAACACCTTTGACTATAAATACAAATTCAGTATCCGATAGTCGAGTCTCTCTGCCTGCTACTTCTGATAGATCAATTCTTGCTTTTGTCAGGTACTATCATGAGTTGTTCAGAATATGATAGTCTACAAGTACAAACATGCTATCCTTGGTGTTTGACACCATTACATTGTAGACTAGTCCCTTTGCAAACTGGTATTATTGGATAAGAAGACCCTTAGAGCCTTGGAGGGATTATGGAAAACCCCTTTAGACAAAATTTATTCATGCCCATCCATGCCTTAGCTATTTATGGTTGCCCTACTATTTTAATGTAACTGAAAATCCAATTGATGATGCTTATTTGGGATTGTCCCCACATAAAATGTTAATCACCCCATCTTAATATCTTCATATTTTACAATTACTCTGCCATAGTCTCATCTGATACAAGGCAGTGGTGTTGATGTCAGGGCCGCTTATGTAAAAGGGCCCAGACCCAGGGGCACAAGAGTGTTTAGGTTTCTTAGAAGTGTAAGGAAGAGAAAAATTCCCCCACAATGTAAGTGGAGAGAGGCACAATTAATTATCTCTTGGGCCCATAGCGCATCACATGCAAACCACAGGTATGGTTGGTGTGCGGCAAGGTCGCTCGGGGTGGCTTATTGCCATGGTTGAAAGCAGGGAAATGTATTTACTTATTTTGAATAGCAACAACAAACTTGTAAACATAAACATTGCGCAGACTGATAATAATCAGTGGAACAGCTGTTTCGGTAGGCCGTTACTGTGGCATTGCCACTTATTAGAGAAGGTAATGCCTTTGTGGTATTTCTCGATTAAAGTTTTCATTTATCTGTAACACACTGTAGTTTGAAAACTTAAATCTATTAGCGACTTTAGTATACTTACTATTAAAGCAGCACTTTTCTGCTCTGACACAATAGACAGCACAGAGTATACACAGGAGGAAGACTACGAAACAAGCTCCAGCTAGGCTGATCAAGGTAGTCATGGCAATAGGTTCTGTGACAGAATAAATTGTGAGAACAATGGTAACATATGAAATTTTCTGAGGAACTACACAAGATCTCTTACGAGCCGCAGTGCAGTACCGGTATTATGTGTAGTATGTATTATATGTGTAGTAAAAATTAATAGGGTTTGTTGGTTTTATTACTGGTTTTGAATGTGTCGTAAATAGCTATTATAAAAATGAGTAACTGTTAATTTGAATGAATTCAGAAAATAGTGAAAATTAATAAAACAATCCCAAAACAAACATTATTAATTATTGTTTAATCAGTTATGAAATTCCAAAGTAAATTGTTTCCTCCCAAATATTTAATATTAATAATTATGTACTAATTAAAGTTTGCAAGTTCGTATAAAATTAATTGTATCTCAAAATAAATTTTATATTGCTTATTGTGGATACAAGAATATAATTGGATGATCATAAATTACTATAGTTGGGTATTTTCAAAATACACTATTTAAATGAAAACTGAAATTTAATTACAAAATTCAATAATATAGTATGGAAACATTTACAAGAACTTTTCATTTCACTCCCACATTTCATGAATTCTGTTTTTACTTGACTAAGTAATATGTTAACTAGCTTCCTTTAAACAAAGGTATATTTAAATCACAACTCTTGAAAGCTTTCTTTATTTCCAAGTACAAGTAAGCTTTCCAACTACTAAAATGTCTTTTCAACAATCCAAGCTGATGTATTCAGGCTGGAAAATATACCAGAGCAGGCAGGTTATCCGCCTCAAGTGTGCCTAGCCTGCCCACTAACTGTCCACTGGATTCGTGCGGATACAGGCATTAAACAACTCAGAGGTCGTCGAAGCCTTCTTAGCTTTTCTCTGACATCCGACTCATTTGAGAGTAATTCATCTCTGACTGTTTTTAGTTTAGTGCGGATTAATTAACCCACTTAGAGTTCTTGCAAAAATTTGAATTACCGTGTGTTTTTATAACTACTTACTTATACCTTACTGACTAAGCAGAACCAAACAAAACTACATGCAGTGCTAGTGTTAGTAAGCCTTATGCTAGGGTGAGCAAAACAAAACGTGAAAGACTTGCCAGCATACGAACCACGGACGGCCAGCCGCACAGAGTGCCGGTCGTTGCCGCGGTCATTCTCTACGAACATAAAGTAATTCCTGGAGTCTGCGGGTTCCACATCCTGAATCACCAGACGAGCTTCGTAGCAGTCCTCCCTCTCATCCTGCGAACAGGAATCAAAGTTGGTGATGGGTGACAGAAAATTGGAAGACATTTATCTTGAAGAAATAGTCATAAATAGTGTTTTATTTCTACACTGGAAAGCTTTATGTGAGGAAGTTTTCCAACAGAGTTAGTTCTACTTGAATTAGAGACTAATTTAATTAACTTCATAGATAAACTTACATATTACCTAAAAGTTCAATAGACCCTCAATCCATCACAATACCGTAAGGCACGAACGGAGACTCGTATTGCAAATAAACAAGGAAATTTTAAAGTTCATCTAGATTGAAATAAAGGAAACATTTATGACTGAGTTAAAGTTCCTCCTGTCAACTAAGTTATTTAGCAGCTTATTTATTAGACTTCAAAGTCATTGGTTCAGCTAACCAACAGAGAGTATGAATTAGGTTTTAGAAAAAATTAAGAACATAATTTGAGTTCAGTATTGTAAGGTTTAAAAGAATAAGAAATGTTTTAAGATGCAATGTAATAAAACGTTTTATTGTTTTTGTTTACATTTTAAATCAATAATTTCTGTTCCATTAAATGTAGTTATTATTTTAACAGAGTTTCATCACAAGAATTTTGAATGGGAATAGATATCAAACGTAGACTTCTAGACTTATTTTGGCCAAAATAAAATAAAACATCAGTCATATGGAAAATAAAACAGAAGCATCAAGAACAACCTTTTTAAAGTTGTATTTTTATTAGTGGTATATAGTGTGAGTGTGTTACCTTTAATTTTGCTAGGACACCTACTAGATCTTTACATTTGTAAACAGTCTACTAACTATACAAGAGTAATTGGTGTAAGTGACATATGTATGCTGGAATTATATTCATTATAAAACAAAGGTTTAAGATTCCCTTATATGAAGGACCATTTTAACTGATATGCATTATAAGAATTTATCATAGAGAAAAATAGATCAGTTACATTGCACACATATTCATTGTCTTTAAACTCATCATTGTAAGAAGAAAATGTTAACAAAAAGTAATATTATGAGTGGGAACTGTTTAATAAGACAGTTTGCAGTAACACAGCACAATTAGTCTATTTAAAGGAATTATTTTGCATAAGCTTATTAGATGAGACACATTGAACGATGAACTTTGAAGATAAGCCTCTGCTGTGGACACCTGTTGATGTTTAAGTTTGCTGCTTTGGTAACAGATATTGATTGTGACATCAAGTTCTCCCATAAAGGTTACAACTTTGCAAGTTTACTGTAGGATAATGGCTACCCAGAGTAATTTAATGATGGTGAATGCTTTATACCAATTGGAAAGTTCCAGCTGATAAGGTTAGGTGAAAACATCAAATGAAAAGCGCTGAGAAAAACAAGTGTCATTGGTTGTTGCAACTTAAATATTGTGTTTTATTTAACTTCATTGTAGTTTTGTTTATTCAACAAGTTTATTTGTGTATATTTATTCAATAACAATGGAATTTTAAAAAAAATCTTTGGGGAAGTCAAAAATCTTGTCTTGCAACCAATATGACCTTTTGTTAGTTAGTTAGCATTAATACGGTAAATTTTAATCACATTGACAAATAGAAAAATCTAGGTTCTGTATTGATTGTTATGACTTTTTCCATATTTTTTTGAAAATGCGGATTTGAAAAAGCATGAAAATGCGGATTTGAAAAAGCATCCATGTGGAATATGAACCCTACCTAATTTTTGACAAGTTTTTGTTCCCTTTTACTTAATTGGTTTCATTTTGCAAGTGGATTTTGCTCATATTCCAAATCCCTTCTCTGCAAATAGTCCTCTTGCCTCTTCAGCCCATGATTTCTTCTCTCCTCCACCTATTTTCTATTCCCTCATCTACCTATGCCTTATTCCCTGCTTTCTTCTATATTGTTATGTAATTAGTTTTTTTAATTATAAGTGAAATTATTTGTTTTTATAGCCCACAACACTGTATTGCACATTATTTGTATAGCTTTAGTCTTGTCCTGCAAAAATAAACCAGAATTTATCCTAGATACTCTGTGTATTCTCTCTTTCCTCCATTTCGCATCTTCCCCCTGCCTTCCCTTGCTGCTCTCACCTGTATAAGGTCCTCCGCGTGGTATCTGCCCAGCCCTTGCCCGGCTGATAGCTGCAGACTGCCCCACTCCCACATCAGTCGCCGAGGTCGAGGGTCAGCACACACCACTTGCCTCAGCACTGCAGTCTGCCCTCGCATCATCACCACCTCTACCAGCGCGTCATCCCCGCCTTCTCTGAGGATCTGTGGCGCTCCTGTAACGATATAAGTGTAGTCTAAGAAAATGTAATCTGAAAACTTTAAAGTAGGATATTCTATGGACCTGGAAGATCAGGGAAAGTGTTTTAGTCAGGACAAATTTATCAAATAATTAAAGTCCGGAAAATTTATGAAAATCTTATGTACATCCTGTTAATTATTTGGATGACTTACTGTGTTGAAATGAGATAGTTGCTGAAGAGTTTAGTAAAGTTATGAAAAACCTTCTGTTAAAATGGCAAGAAGCAAATTTGTACATTATTGGGGGAAAAACAAAAAGAATAAGTCTAAAGATAAAGACTCTTCTTATTTGGCAAAATCGAGAGCTGACTTCAACAAACTTCAAAATGTAAGAAAAGTATCAAGAATGAAACAGCAAATTGAAGCATTTAAGCATTGATATAATGCAAAAGGTCATAGCATTAAAAACTGCAAGCTGGTAGAAGCATTAGAAGTTATAGCAAACTACAAGCAGTTTAAAGTTATCTCTTGTAGTGAGTGGTATTTATATTAGTTTTAGCTCTGGTAAACATAACATTGTGGATATCTTTAACACAAATCCAATTGTATTGTTGACACAACTGATTTAAACAAACAAACCCGTTGTAAGAAAAGTCTTTAGGTTCTTCAAAACTATAGTTAGGCCTATTATTGGACATGCTTTTTCTTAGATTGAACATTAATCATTTGTCCAATTGATTTTTATGATGACAAACCCCTCATTTTACAGGCAAGCTGAAATTATACTGCGTATTAGCTTTGGCTATTGATACAACTATACATTCCATCCCATGTTAAATTTGTTGCCAGTTTCAAAATCATAATCATCGTAGTTGATATGAGCTACTGATCGTGCTGATCTAAATTACAAGTTTCTGTCAAATACACAAACCTTTTTTACCAAGTTAAGCCAATTGCGTTATCGAGAGCTTTAGCAACTGTTATGACACATCAACTATGCCAGCAATAAAAAAAAGGTATAAAATATAATTTTATACTCAATGGCATTATGTGGCTGGCTCACAGAACTATTTTCTTTTTGAATAAGAAATTTGCTGACAGCTGGTCCGTATGGATGGGCCTTTAGTATTCTGGAATTTGTAGTTCTAGGTAGTTGGTGATCAAGAAGTTATTAATCCGAAAGTCTAATGATATTAGTTTTTCAACTCTACACTTGCAGTATAGGCGACAAATACAAGTTTTCTAAGATACAACTGAAAATCACCAATATACAATAAAAATAATATATTGGTTCATCCAAACCGGGGTTATAGACTTAACATTTTACATAACTAAACTCACCGACGACTTGCAAACTGACTGCCTCGCTCTGAGTCATCCTCTCCTTGCCTCCGATGAAGTTGACTACTCTACAGACGTACTCTCCCTGGTGGTCGTAGGTGACGTTACGCAGCAGAAGTTGACGCTCTGAGCCCCGGACCATGGCGTCCTGGGATGCAGTGGCCGACAGTTTCTGTAGCCACTGGTACTGCGGGGGAGGATGACTCTCGGCCTCACAGTTGAACAGAGCCTGGGAGTAAAGGGAGGCTGTGGTCAAACGGTCCGGACCCACAGACTTGACCACTGGGGCATCTGGAGAAGAAATGTGTGAAATAGATTAATAATGTGTAATTTAATGTAAGATGTATATTTTCAAAACTAAATTCTGCTGGTAGGACAGACTACTTCTTTTATGAATATATTCAGTCTACCTCACCCTATATTTTTAAATTTCTTCAAAGAGTATGGGTGAAATCAAAACATACCACAACTATGTTGCTTTTAAAATGATCAAGTGTTTTGGCTGGTATATCATCAGTTACAGCATTAAATCTAAAGATGAACACTATTTAAAACACATTGAGCATGGTTCTTTAGTGCCAAGAACTAAAATTTCCAAAATGAGAACAAGACTATTCACTCTTTAACTTCCTAACTCACAACCAAACTGAACATCACCATTGATATTGATATAAAAATACAATATAAATGGTAACGGGCAGTTTACATGATGATGCTGGATGGACAAAGAGCTATGTAGAAGAAAATAAATAAGGCCCAGGTAAAGAAATGTGAATTCTGTAAAAGGAGGTTTGGTGTTGCAAAGGAGATAATATACATTTTGAGGAAGATGTGGCTGAAGTGATTAGCTATAGAGTTTCAAAATACAAAAAGAAATGGTTAGGGACATGTGGAAAATGATTTTAAAAAGTATTATGAGTGGTTTCAGCATAAGTATAAATAAACATAGCCCTGTGATATTTGAAAAGTATTTGGTTTAGGGATGTTAAATAAATTAGTATTAAGAATTAAAATTATTGCTCTAGATGATAGAGATTGAATAAGTCATGGCTAAGCATATGATAATTTCTGTATAAGGAATTGAGAGTGGATAACAAGAACTTGTAACATAGTACATAGTTGGTATCCTACAAAGAGAATCATGAGGAGAGGATGAAAAATTGTGTAAATTTTAGTAAAAAAAAAAAAAAAAAAAAAAAAAAAAAAAAACAGCTAGATATTCAATATGTATATTTTGTTTAAATCTCTTGCAATATGGAAGTGTAGAAAACAATACATTCACAAACTTGTAATAAACATGGGAACCCTGTTTTTTTTTTTAGAATCAGTGGTATAAATATTAGGTCTGATGCAAAACTTAAAAATAAACTCTTGGAATTAACTTGTTTGAAGAGCTTAAGGGAACTGCTTAGACATGTCTATTGACAATGGAAACTGTACTACTCATATGCTACTGTGAACTAAATGTTGGTATAAATACTGGTAGTCATAATCTATGTTAATTAACTACTTCTAGGAACAAGTAAACATGGGGTAATAAAGGTCAACAGCAATATCGCAATAAAAAGCTTGCAACAGTGAAATAAAAGAGTAAACAGTTATAATTTTCTGGCGGTGAGTTTTAATTAAACAATTATGATTCCACCTTCAAATGGAAATTCACTGTTTTATTTCCCACTTTAATATATCTGGGGCTTTAAGATGGCGATAAAACATTTAATGGAAGCCTGCAAAGTTAATAATAAACACAATCAACCAGTTCTCATCAAGTTAGGAGTTCTTAGTCGTAAAGTTATCTTGATTTGTGACTTCTCTGATATTTAATTTCTTAATGCATAATCCAACTGTCTTTTAAACGGTTATAATTTACTTAGTAGACTAACTTTTATTAGTGGTAATTAAACACTTATTGTCCTTGGCTATGCTAAATTTAAGGCTTTACATTATATTTATCTATTTATGTTTAGTATAATTTTGGTCTTTTCACAACGCTTGCTGTTCTCATATGCCTTTTCATGTAACAATTTGCTTAATCTGACCAGGGTAGAAATATAGTCTTTACCTAATAACAACCACATTTTTATCTTTTATCTTCCAAACCTGATGGATTTGTCATCAACACAAAACCATAGAAACAATAAGTTTGTGACTCATTACATTCCAAACAATTATAACCAATATGATTAAAACAATGATTCAATACTGCCAAAACCATAGGAAAAAGTAAGTTTGTCACTATGATGACCATTGACTAAAATTCAATACTAAAAGACTTGCGAATTTCCAGTGAATAAAAGACCAGATTTTGTCAGGATCTGGTGCAACCTTTTGGCAAAGAATTGAAGTCTTTGAGGCATTGGCAAAACACTATAAGTAAGGGTGAGTGTGAATTCAAGCCTTTGAATTGCTATTACTTTTTAGGTTAAAACCATGGCAATCGTTAACAGAGAGATAGGACTGTCAAAACCATGATAATCAGTAATAGTAATTGTGATTACGATCTTTGACTTCACTATTGACTAAAGAAAAACCCTCCATAATAGACATAGTTTTTGTACATAGTTTTATTTACAATCTGTTTTACATTAAACAATAAGTAAATATGATGGCATTTTTAACAATAAAATAAAAAAATTGGAAAGCATGAGTTAGCAGTTAAACAGCTTTAGCACTACAAAAAAAATGAAAATTAATTTTAGAGCTGCTGTACAAATCGAGTCGGAAGGTCTAAAACATTTTTTTTTTTTAGTCTGTAGACATGTTGACTGTTGTCTAGGAGGTTGAGGGCCAAATGGTTCGGATGATACTCAAGCTTAGAGATGTATTTTTTTACTGCAGCTCGTAACTTCTTCAGTAAGGAATTTTGCAATCATTGTGAATGGTGATGTTGGATACATACCAAGGGGCTTTCAGGATCGCAAAATATTCCTAGACTAACCTAACCTAAAACGTAGTCCACCCTTAGTTTAGGGTAGGTTATAATTATTAGGTTTGGTCGGTATAATACCAAAATCCTATCCAAATACTACATTTATCGCTAACCTACAACTGGAAGAAATATACAAATCACTATACTCACATTTGACGTCTAACTGGACGGTTAGAGGGTCGCTAGAACCCCATTTGTTGCTAGCTTGACAGGTGTAAGTCCCAGAATCTCTTCTGGTGACTGGACGGAACTGGAGCGACTCCTCGGCACTGACGACCTCCTGGCGGTCCGAGCGTCGCCAGGTGATGGTCGCCGGGGGGTTGGCATCCGTCACGCACCTCAGGACCACCGTGTCTACCCCCTCCTCCACGTCTGACCCGGGGGTGCCGACCAACCGCGTCTCTGGAGGATCTGCAACAATCGTGGAGTTAGGAGCTGGGTCTTTGCTAATAAGTATTTGCTAATAAGCAATTTAATTTCAATGCAGTAGGTGGTATTAGGGTGCTAACCACCGTTTATCCATAAAACAATGAAATATATTTCCTTTTTTTTTATAACTCAAATAGGGCAGACAAAATTAACAAAGTTAATAATAACAAGAAACTAACGCATAATCGTAGTTTGAATGTAAGGAAGATTTTACTTCTAGTTAATTTGTAATTGAATCTAAAGTTAAGTACTTATAGCCTACACAAATTAATGTTTGGATAGTTTTAAGGTGTATACAAAATTATTTTAATTTTTTTTTAATTTTTTTTTAAGTTAAATAAAAGTCAAAATATCTTATAATCTATCATCAACCTTTTGTTTCAAGCCGTCATTTATTGATAGTTATAACAATGAGGTCTGTGTACATAGCTGATTCCCTGAGGATGGAACCATCGACCACAGTGTTGGAGACTACCATTTGGTTGGGTTAGACAATTTGGTTAGACAATTATTGTCAACCTATTGTCATACCTACTTCATTGATTTGTTTGGTAGATTGCGTCAATAACTGAATATGTACCTAAATGTTTGAAATCCATCTACAATGATCACACAGATACCCACACTTCACTTAATGCTCATTGTATGCTTCGACTGCACATCATGCTCATGCACCGATGCTTCACTCAGCTGCACATCATGCTCATGCACCGCCTCCAGTGCGAGACAAATCGATAAAGACCGGTCTGCATAATCCAGCTATTAGGCTGCCATCATCGCTATTAAATGTATATCGGGTTCCACCTCAGACATTAATTATACTGTCTTCGTAAGAAATTGATTTCGGTATAATACGCTAATTTAATTTTTATCGTTGCATATTCAACAGGCCATTACGATTTGGATATTGTAAACATTTGGGCGAATTAGGCAAATTCGCAAATTGTTCCCGAAGTAGGCGGGCTGGCGGTCTGACTGGTTTTTGTGGCAGCCGAAACCTCTTGCGTTCTCCGTCTCTTCGGCTCATTCCCGTTCCACTCTCGGTATCACAATTCTGTGGGTAATTTGTGCAAATTAACCGTGGGATGTTTTGTGGACGCAGGAAAATATTTGGTTTAATTTCGTTCCAAGTAACCGCTGCTGGACAAATGAAACTTTGTGGCTGAACATTAAAAAATTAATATTCTTAGAATTATTTTAATCCCCTTAAAGTTTAAATTTGCTCCCATGTGTAAAGTTTGGGTTACAAAATTCAATCATTCATTATTCCTGTTACCATGAATCTAAATAAATTGCTTTTATGAGAGCCCTGTTATAGGCCTAATTTAGGAGATTACCTAGTACAATTTTTTGGATAAATTCGATCATAATTATACACGCCTTACCTAAATTCGTGGTTCTTTAAAATACCACGATTAACAGTCTCATATAGTTTAATATCACTCCACTCTCACAATATTTATTTTTATTTATTTTTTTGGAATTTGTAGTCTTTGTATTGTGTTTAAAGTTAAAGTATATACAAATAAAGCAAACCCTATGAATATTCGACATGTTTATTCGTAAAGTGACCTTAATTTTATTTCCACAACAATGTAGCCTACAACATAATGTAAAATACTTTATAACTTTAAGCACAAAGAATAAAAAATCGGACCCTTGTTAGTTTTTCAATATTTCTGAACTATGTAGTACCGTAACTTTTAGTGTAAATTATTATCGATCGTTAAATTTCATAGATAACTAAATTCTTAAAAAAAAAAAAAAACTAGCGTTTCCCTCTTTATTGGGAAATTTTATTGGCAATATATATTATTAACACAGCAAAACAGTACTGATACATGTGCTTATACTGCATATCGAATATTAAATTTAATTCAAGTAGAAACGGCTCTGCTTGAAAAATATGATACATATTTGGAACAAAAATAAACCTTCTATGAAAAGCTTCAAAAGTAATTATCAAAAATAATATTAACGAAAACGAGGCAAAATTCCGAGAAGAAACGCGTCCAGATTTCCACTGCCATTAAAATCTTATTAAGCCTGTTTTTATCGGATCGAAATTAATACAGTTTTAACATTTGTAATTAGTTTACACGCTTTTAGATTTATTTATAGGCAATGATTATCGAAAGTAAATTATAGCGATATTCAATTAATATTTATTCGGTTTAAAACTCTAACAGATCGCTCTTCTGTGAGTTCTTCACTTCAAAAGCGATCTTAATTATATCAATTTCCAGTCTCAAACTTGTAAGATTAGACGGGTATATTTCAACAGATCTTTTTCACGGTAGATCGTCATCGTTTTAATGTTATAAAAATGTTAGCCACAAACAGACATTGCATTTATTTTTCTTCAAGTATTCTACGCTATTAGAATTGTTTATGTTTATGTATGGCAACTGTTCTAAACCTGTTTTGTCACCATTGTAACGTCAAACATTAATAAGATTTCATTAATTTAAAAAAAGTTTAAAATCGAACTTATTTTCAACCACCATCTCCAGACTTAAAGAAAAGCCCCTTTGTTTATTTTAAATAAAAGATTCTAGCAATTTGTATTAAATGACGTGGTTTATTTAGACCTTACAAAAAAACTATCAAAAATGTTCATACAATTTAGGATATTAGTAAAATATAATAGTGTGTTGCGACTTGATTATTTTTATCATTGTAATTGTATTGTGTTGTTGCGCATATTATGTTTTAAAGTAGTGAAATTTTTTCTATCCTGGTTTAAATGGTTATGCGATTGCCAACTGGTTTTGTGGAATGGGAATTTGTTACATTTTGTTATTTTATTTGTTAGTTTGAATTAAATTTAAAAATGTTATTTTAAAATTTATTTTGTAAAATCTCTAATTTTGTCTTTGCTTATTTTTATTCTTTCATTTCTACGTCCATGCGCTCATTCTTTTATTTGTCCATTCGTTCAATCGTTTATTTTCATAAGGAAATACAAACGTTTACCTAGTTTTGTTAACGCTCGTTCATTCCTTGTACGTTTATGATTTATTTTTTATTAGTCCATTAGTCCAATTATTGAAAATGTATTTGAACCATGAACTTATCTACCCAGGGATTGCACCATAATCTGTATTTCCATACCCAAGCTTATGAGGCACTCGTACCTAGTAGTTTCCCAATCACACTCGGCTAGGACAGGCTTTATAGCCAATTAAAGGCCATTAGCTGCTATTCAGTGCTTAGGGCGAGGAGTTGAAACCGCTAAAATGGCCTGCGACTGAGTTATGAGATGGGCCAAACTATCATTACAAACTATTAAAAGCGATTGTAGTGTGTGTACAGAAATAAAAACAGTTTTAGTTTTAGATTTTTTAATTTTTAAAGAATTTAATTGGTCATTATATAAAAGATGTACTACTTTATTCGAGAAGGTGTTTTAACATAACTAGTTTTGCATTCGTATCGTTTTCTAGTTCAATTTTGTATACATTTATAAACGACTCCACCTTGTTTATATATGCTTAAAGCACAGACCATTAGGTATTAAAATTTGTACTTCATCCCATTTAAAAGGTGGATAAACTAAGTTATTTCCTAAGTAAAACCAAGCTACATTAAATTAGTTCATGCATGATGCTTTTCTATAAATATATTGATAAAACGTAGCAAATTTATTTGAGTATACTTCATAAAGCGATATATAATTTGATATGTGACACATTTCAACTACATATGACACAATATCACGGTTGAAATGTGTTATACGTACTATTTGATGCATTGTCCTAGTTCTGCTGTATACTAATAGCAATAATAGTCTAGCTGCTGAATACAAATCATATTGTACAATGTTCCAATTTAGATGCCACATTCTGTTGAGTTTTCGTTTGCATACTAAATGAAGCAATGTCTTCGTTAAACGTAGAGTATACGTATATTTAATGAAGCAATCTCTCTTTTAGCACAGAAAACGTACTACTATAACCCAGAATGCCAACCGCATGGTAAAAAGCATTAAGCGGTTTGAGAGAGCTTTGCCTGTCAATCGGTAGGCAGCGCCACCAGCGTTGCCATGCAATAGCATAGCAACGCTGGTGGCGCTGCCTACGGATTGACAGGCAAAGCTCTCTCAAACCGCTTAATGCTTTTTACCATGCGGTTGGCATTCTGGGTTATAGTAGTACGTTTTCTGTGCTTTTAGCTACTTCGCAGGGGAAACGTTCACGGTCACCTCTGTTTATGAACAGGTCCATTTAGCAGTCTCCTGATGTGTTGTAAAGCTCTCATAATGGTGCTCATATGATACTGCAGAGGCATTAGAGCGAGACGATGTGTTGCACTGTAACAGCTGTGCGACTGAATCGGCAATTAGTGTTGGGGAAAGACAGAGAGGGTGGCAATCGTATGGCTTTAAACGTTATTACCAAATATTTATTTGATGTAAGGTTGATTTGTATAATTACTTTATATCAAATTAGGGGGAATACAATTTAACTGAGTGCGTAGGCTTATATATCGATGGATTTATTATTTAAAGTGGCTTGAAATAAATGCTAGCATATAAGGAGTTTTTACTGTAAGTGAAAAGGAGTTTAATGGATTTTTATATTCCAGTTACTGCCTTACTGAACTACACTTTCTCATGTCTCACTTTTAGTTTTAGGTCGGTATGCTCTAGTTGTGGAAACTTTTTACAGATAAATTCAGCTAGAATTTGCGATAGGCTGGATTTGAACCCGGGGCCTCGGGTAAAAAGCCCCACGCAAGACCATTAGACCAGCTCACTACAATTATTAAGTTACACTAACAATCGTCGTCATATTCTGTCATTGGTTTTTATACTGTTATATACTTTACCATCATTTACTAATGTATTTCAGGTAATGTTTCAATTTCAACGTAAACTTACAAAATTCCTTGTGTCATTTAGGTAATACCTCATTGTGTTACAATTGAAGAATGGTTAGGAACTAAAAGCTTGCCTGATACATTGTGCAGCCGATGTTGGT